TGCCGCCCCAATTAACGGTGGCTGCCAGCCCAATAGCCCCCTGAGGGGGCGATTTGGGGCAGGGGCGGTTGGGGCAGCAGCTGCACTGGCACCTGCTGCTAGTGCTGGCCCCAATCGGTATGCACCATCAGTGGGTGCGAGTGGGGCTGGCACTGTCAGCATGTGGAAGCGGCAGTGGCGGCGGGAGCAGGACTGTGGTGGGAGGGTCCAGGTGGGACCACAGAGGATAGGCCGAGACCCACCCCTGTGCCCACTGCAGCCTCGCGGCCCACAGTTCCTTTCATGGTGCACAAATTCATGCAGTGGGCCCCTAGTATATGTAGATATACTAAAATTGCAGTTAGTTGTTAATTGTATTTGTATCCCAAAGTGTGTACATATTCAAGTTGATAAAAAATTTTTTTTGTAATCTTCTCATTGGGCATAAGACAAATCACCTAATGTTCAAGTTTACCTTATATTAATCATGTAATTGTATATAATAAAAGGCTAATATGCAAATTGTCCCTTGGGAGTTCCACTAACCGAGAGTTCAACTGCTTGCTATGACGTATGCTGACCACCAGGGGGCGGCACGGAACGAGGGAAGCCCTGGCTGGCAGCCAGGGAAAGGAAGGCCCAGATTGGCTGTAATTGCTGGCCAGGCCTAGGGACCCTACCCATGCACAAATTTTGTGCACCGGGCCTCTAGTTTAATTAATGTATAGTGATTAATAGTGCATGTTTTGGGGCCACTGCCTGGATTTACATCCTTCCACTTATTAGCCTTGTGCCTCACTTTTCTCATGTGTAAAAGCAAGAAGTAGTGTCTGAGATAATGCATGTAAGGTTCAATGCCTACTAGTAAGTATAAAGGGTTCAATAAATGTTTGCAGTTATTATCAGTGGTGAATTTATATGGGTACAGAAGCAGTAGGATTTTTTCAGCAACCAAATGGACTTTTAAAAAACTGTAATGATTGAACTTGAACAAACTATGCATTTCTGAGATCAATTGCACACATTCACTTTGATGCTTCCCTGATGATTCTGTATTATTCTATTATTTGCCTCTTGGTACTGTGGAGTGTATTAAAAGTATGTTTTCATCTCTGTGTCAGATTTCCCAAATTGGGCTTGTCTGCATTGGACATTTAAGTCTCACAAATACCTTTTGATAGCACACACTATTGGTTAAGAATCACTCATATGTTACAGTAGCTGTAATTGAAAATTGTGCACAATGCTAGCCATATTTGATTTTTCTTGGTGTTTTCATGTCATTTTAAACAGTAAAGAAAACGTGTTCATCTTTTTGCTTTATCTTCCTTTCTCCTTTCTCTTTCCCCATCACATGGAATTTATCAGGAGACAGTGCATAAGATGAATTGTAGAAAATATGTTTATTTGCAAAGAAAGAAAATGGCAGTGTCTAGTCATATAAAACAGTTGCCATATGATATTTCTGAAAATCATAGAGGAATCAGGTTTTATTAGACTCAGTGAGAGAGAAGCCTAGAAATTACTATGAGTGTAATATACTTCCTTTAGGCAGTTTATCTTTTATATTTTACAGTTAGAATTCTCCATGACCTTCTCAGTTATAGACACTTCAAGCTACCACTGCTTATCATTATAGTTTAACTCTGCTATTATAAAGAATGTCATGTTAAACTTTATTTTATTATAAGATAGTATTTATCAGGCTAGATATAGCTGCTCTGAGAGCTTTAAGCCAGACAAATTTAAATATAAATTTTAAACATTCTTGGTTTAACATTATATCTTGCCTTTTGTAGTACACATGCCTAAGGTACAGAATTCTAATTTTTCACTTTTATCTGATTTTCACATTGGTGTCTTGATAATAATGGTGTCTCACCTGAGATAAATCACTAAATGAGAGAGGTGGCCATGTGGGAGCCATGCACCCTAGCCTGTAGCCCTTGGGCAGCAGCAGCACACCCTTTCTTAAATTGTTATTCTTATTTTCATTCTTTTCTGTGTCAGAGAATGCATGTTCTCTGAGCAGAGAATTCTTACTGGAGAGAGCAGGTTACGCTATTTTTTTAAAATATATTTTTATTGATTTCAGAGAGGAAGGAGGAGGGAGAGAGGGCTAGAAACATCCATGATGAGAGAGAATCATGGATTGGCTGTCTCCTGCAAGTCCCCCACTGGGGATCGAGCCCACAACCTGTGCATGTGCCCTTGACCGGAATCAAACCTGGGACCATTCAGTTTGCAGGCCTACACTCTATCCACTGAGCCAGACTGGCTAGGGCAGGTTACTCTATCTTAACCATAATACTTTTCATGTACTTAGATATGACTTTTTGTTATTATGATTACTAATTATAATACTAATCAAGCTCTTCCTTAAATGAGGATAATTTTATAAATATCAGAGACGTGATATCAAACTTATGATTTTCATTAAATTCTGCAAATTAAGGTCTGGAAGTCATAGATAAACATTTTTGCCTTTTGATTTTGCATTAGGCAGTCAAGATGTTTTTGACTCTCCTACAGTCCTAAATTTGCAGAATTTAATGAAAATTATAAGTCCCCTACTGTCCAAGATCATGAATTTTCCCCCTGGAAGTAAATATAAACATTTATTGACTGTTGCTAAGATTTTATTAGAGAAAGATTGACATAATTTAAAAGAATGGTTGATTTTATGCTTATAAATATTATTTCGTTCCTGGACTATCTCTTAAAGCTCTTTCCATTAACTCCAAAATTGACTTCTGTACTAACTGCTGTTAACATATACTCCTTCCCAATCTCTGGAAATTAAATGTGTCAACTTCACATTAAAATTGGGAAAGGGCCCTAGGAGATTAGCCTGCATTCACTGAGATATATTTAAAGTGAACAAAAATAGACTGGTCTTCACGGACAAATCAGGACAGCAAGTGCCTCAGAAAATTACCAACACACCCCTTGTTTGACTGGCTTCACATAATGAAAATTAAAGGGAAATCAGAATGGACCCGAACCTGGAGATTACTCACTCCCCACCCTCTGATTTTACAAGTGAGGATCTGAGGCCAAGAGAAGTGAAGAAACCTATTCTA